GTCTTACCGTGCCCGGCAGCCCCCTCTGGCACCTTGTCAGGTCTCTACCTCCCCTCGTTCTCTACAAACTTGGTGAGTGGAGCTCATCTACAGGATAGGGGGGTTGACCAGTTCACTCCTGCGAGTCAGCGGGTGACCCACTGCACGTGTGCTCGGACAGGCCGACACTTGGCCACGTTCACCCGTCGGCCGGGGCCGAGCCTGTACACACTAACTACTGAGTCTCCTCCGACTACTGAGTCTGATCAAGTAGCTGCGTCGAGTCAGGTGTTTGCTGCAGCGTCCAGGTCTGGTCCCGAGTCTGCTCCCTGCTCGTGTCGTCTCCTGTCCCACCAGATTCTCCTTTGGCACCACCGCCTTGGTCACCCCTCCCTGCCTCGTCTCCGAGGCATGGCCTCCCGTGTCCTTGTCTCTGGTCTCCCCCGGTCTCTCCCTCCCCTACCTCCGGGGCCTGCCCCTACCTGCGTCCCCTGCGTCGAGGGGCGACAGCACGCCGCCCCTCACTCCTCCGAGTTTCCTCCGACAGAGGCTCCGCTGCAGACTCTTCACATGGACGTGTGGGGCCCTGCCCGCGTCCGTGGCCAGGGGCACGAGCATTACTTCCTGTTGGTGGTTGACGACTACTCGCGTTACACCACAGTCTTCCCCTTGCACAGCAAGGATGACGTCACTGAGGTGTTGATTGACTGGATCCGCGCAGCTCGTCTCCAGCTCAGAGAGAGTTTCGGCTCGGACTTTCCTGTTCTGCGTCTGCACTCTGACAGAGGCGGGGAGTTTTCCTCTGCCCGTCTGGGAGCCTTCTGTCGAGCACAGGGCATCCGCCAGACCTTCACGCTTCCGGCCTCTCCACAGCAAAATGGGATTGCTGAGCGCCGCATTGGCATGGTCATGGACGTCGCTCGTACGTCTATGATCCGTGCAGCTGCCCCCCATTTTCTGTGGCCGTTTGCGGTTCAGTACGCGGCGCATCAGATCAACCTTCAGCCCCGGGTCTCCTTGCCACAGACCTCCCCCACCTTGCGGTGGACGGGGAAGGTTGGCGATGCGTCTGCGTTTCGGGTCTGGGGACCACGGGCGTTTGTCCGCGACTTGTCTGCGGACAAGCTGTCCCCCCGTGCTGTTCCCTGCGTCTTCCTTGGCTTCCCCCCTGACGCGCCTGGGTGGCAGTTTTACCACCCCACCTTGCGCCGTGTTCTGTCCTCCCAGGACGTCACCTTTGACAAGTCGGTGCCTTACTTCCGTCTCTTCCCCTACCGCACTCCGCCCCTCCCCCCGCCGCCGCTCTTCCTTGCGCCAGGTCCTCCCCCGGTAGACCCCCTCCCCCCTCAGGGTCCCGCCCCGTCAGGTGTGTCCCAGGTAGACGCGATCGAGCCTGTCGAGGTAGCTGTTGACTCTGGTGCTGCTAGAGGTGCTGAGCCTGCGGGTGCCGGGTCTGAGGGTGCGGAGCCTGGGGGTGCCGAGTCCAGGGGTGCGGAGCCTGGGGGTGCTGAGCCTGGGGGTGCTGAGCCTGGGGGTGCTGAGCCTGGGGGTGCTGAGCCTGGGGGTGCGGAGCCTGGGGGTGCTGGGTCTGCTCGTGTGGCCTCTAGCGGTGCTTCGTCGAGGCGGGAGCCACTCTCTCCACAGGAGGTGCGCGAGTGGTTTGCCCGGCGCTGGAGCCGTGCTGTTGGAGTTGGAGGTACTACTGTTGCTGCTGGTCCCGGAGGTGCTCATCCTGGCGGTTCTGGAGCTGCTGGGACTGGGGGTGCTGCTGGGGCTGCTGGAGGTACTGCTGGAGCTGCTGGCGGTACTGGAGCTGCCGGTCCTGCTGGAGTTGGTGCTGCTGGAGCTGCAAGAGCTGGAGCTGCTGGGGGTGTTGGCGCTGGTGGTGCTGCTGGCGCTGGTACGTCTGAGGGTGCTGGAGTTGGCGATGTTAGAGCTAAAGGTGCTGCTGGCGCTGGTGCTGCCGCTGGGGGTACTGGTGCTGTCCCTGCTGGTTCTGGAGGCGCTGCGCGGCCGCGGCCGTACTTCGTTCCGCTCCTTGAGCAGGTTCTTGGTCTCCCGCCCACTACTCGTCCTGCTCCTCCCTTAGAGTGTCCACAACCTGTCCAGTGGCAGTCACAGCTACAGCCCGCCTCCCCCCTACCTGCTCCTTCTCCCTACGCTGGTCCTACTAGAGGTCTTGCTGAGCGTCGTGAGCCTGCGTCTAGTCCTGCGTCGCTTGTTTATGCTACTCGCACTAGTCGTCGTGCTCCGCGTCCGCGACCTCCTGCAGTCCCACGCACACACCGGATGGCACTGCGTCCTTCCACTGCTCCTCTGCGTGTCCCATTGCCGTCTCCTCCAGAGTCCTCTCTTCCTATTCTTGCTGACCCGGAGTTAGAATCTCTTCGTGCTGCCAGTCCTATTGTCACGCGTCTCCTGGCTACTGTTGCCACTGACCCTTCCTTTGAGTCCACTGCTGCGTCGGCCCTAGTTGCTGAGCTTGTCGACTTTGCTGCTCGCTGTCGTCTAGACTACGCTGCTATTCTTGTTGCTGAGTCTGAGTCTGTCTATTCTCCATCCGTCAAGGGTGAGTGTGCTCTTAGCACGGACGTCCTTGAGGACAGGCAGGAGGAGTTCCAGTGTTTTGTTGCTGCTTTGCCTCATCTCGTGTCCACGGTGATTGCCCCTGAGGGAGACCAGATTGCACCAGACATCCCGACTCCTCGATTGTACGCTGAGGCTATCGAGGGTCCCTACTCCTCTCAGTGGCAGTCAGCCATGGACGCAGAGATGGCTTCCTGGAAGTCCACAGGCACCTACGTCAACGAGGTTCCCCCACCTGGGGCGAACATCGTCAGTGGCATGTGGATTTTCAGGGTGAAGCGGCCGTCGGGTTCTCCGCCTGTCTTCAAGGCGCGTTACGTGGCTCGAGGCTTTAGTCAGCGGCAGGGAGTTGACTACTTTCAGACCTTCTCTCCCACCCCAAAGATGACCACTCTTCGGGTGCTGCTGCACATGGCCGCTCAGCGCGACTACGAGCTTCACTCTCTTGACTTCAGCACAGCTTTCCTGCAGGGCAGCCTGCACGAGGAGATCTCGCTGCGCCGCCCACCTGGCTTCACTGGGTCGTTTCCTCATGGTACCCAGTGGAGCCTCCGGCGGCCAGTCTACGGTCTCCGCCAGGCGCCCCATGAGTGGCACGACACACTGAGGACTACACTTGCGGCTCTTGGGTTTGCTCCTTCTACAGCCGACCCGTCGCTGTTTCTGCGCACCGACACCTCTTTGCCGCCGTTCTACATCCTCGTGTACGTCGACGACTTGGTCTTCGCCACAACTTACACTGCTGGACTCGCCCACGTGAAGTCCGAGCTGCAGAAGAGACACACGTGCACAGACTTGGGTGAGCTGCGCAGCTACCTTGGCTTGCAGATCACCCGGGACTGAGCACAGCGCACCATTACCCTGACCTAGTCACACATGGTGCAGCAGGTCCTTCAGCGCTTCGACTTCACGTACTCCTCGCCTCAGGCCACTCCTCTGTCTACTCGCCACTCGCTCTCAGCTCTGCCTTCGGATGAGTCCGTAGAGCTGAGTGGCCCGTACCCACAGCTTGTTGGCTGCCTCATGTACCTGATGACCTGCACACGACCTGACCTTGCATACCCTCTTAGCATCTTGGCACGCTATGTTGCTCCTTGGAGACACCAACCAGAGCACATGGCTGCAGCGAAGAGGGTGTTGCGCTACTTGTGCAGTACGTCGGGCATGGTGCTAGTGCTTGGAGAACGACGTCGAGTGGTCCTCACAGGTCATGCAGACGCTTCTTGGGCTGACGACCAGGCTACGCAGCGGTCGTCACAGGGTTACACCTTCAGCCTTGGCTCCGGCTCTATTTTGTGGCGGTCTACTCGCTCGTCTTGTGTTCTCGGCTCCACCTGTGAGGCTGAGATCTACGCGGGGGCCATGGCTGCACAAGAGCTACGCTGGCTTACCTACCTGCTCACTGACCTAGGAGAGCCGCCTCGTTCTTCTCCAGTTCTGTACGTAGACAACAAGGCCATGCTGGCCTTGTGTTGGGAGCACAGACTGGAGCACAGAACGAAGCACATTGCTCTCCGCTACTTCCTTGCTTGTGAGCTGCAGCAGCGTGGTCAGCTCCGCCTCACCTACGTGGCCTCTGAGGCCAACACTGCTGATATCTTTACCAAGGCACTTCCGCCTGGTGATCATCAGCGCTTCTGTATGATGCAAGGTCTTTTGCCTACTTGGCCTCACTTGCTCACTTCTTGACCTTGCTTGTACTGTGATCTTTCTATACCTGCACTTGCTTGTCTACCTTTATATATGATCTTGCATGTGAACTGGCCTTGTGGCCTTGCTCTTGTGCTTTGATTGTGTGGTGACGTTGTGATCCACCCTGAGCTTGCTTTGCTTTGCTTGACTGGTCTTGTGACCTTTTGTTCTCCCCCACTTTGCCTATGGGGGTGTGTCAAACTCATATGCTATAGTCTCTATAGGCTGTAGTGGGGTAGACAATATGGGGTACAACACTTTTATGTTTTCCTACTTGTACCCACCTGCTTGCTAGTTCATTTCATTCCTCATTTCTTCACATGCTCCTGCATGTTTGCGGCTGTGGCGCACGCAATGGCACACGCCTTGCACCACCGGGGCTCCGCCCTGCTCCCCAGTCGTAGCAGACACCACCGCCGCCAGCACTGCCGTCGTTACCGGTGTTGGTGACACGGACAACACCACCTCCTTGGTCTGCTTCGGATCCGCACCCAGCCTCGTCTCCCTAGCCTCCGGTTGTGCAACCCGTGGGGTGGCAGAGGTTGAAGTTGAGCCGCCGCCAAAGGCAGCGGCAGAACCGCCAGTAGGCACCGGGCCGACCGCCGTCTCTGCTGCAGGCAGGGCAGCAGGAGCTACCTCAGGTACCACTGCAACTGCCATCCAGAGTAGCGCAACAGCCACCAGCTCAGTCTCCACTACGTCGTTTTCCCATGCCCCTCAAGCTGCAGCAGCCTCGTCCCTTGATGCCCCACGTTCCTCTGTCACCTCTCCTCCACGCCCCAAACCCTCCGTCAGTACCGGCCTCGCCGTCGTTCCATCGGTACTTGTATGGCGGCCCCCCTGTGCAGCGTCCATGGGAGCTGGTGACGCCTCCCGCCCAGCCTCCTCCCCCTGCCGTGGTTCCTGGTGAGCCCCCAACTCGCATCGAGCAGCGCGTGATGCACGTGGGGACTTGCTTGACGCTCCTTTCGAATGTGCTCGACCAGCTTCACGTGACCCTGGTGCGGCAGGAGGTGCAGATCGAGGCGATGCAGCCGGCGGAGCACTCGGCGGCAGTGTCAGCAGCGGAGGAGTTGCAGCATTACCTCTCTCTGATTGGCTTTGTGCCAGGCTCCCCTGGGGCTGCCCTCGGGCCCGGCCCTGGAGCTTTGGCGTGGCTTGCCGAGTCTGCCCGGGGGGACCTGCTCGACCTTATGGCAGCAGCCATGTCCGTCCTACGCTGGCTAGACGGGAGGCTGTGTTGGATCCTTGTTGAGTAGCGCTCGCCTTCCCCTTGCCAGCCCCCTTAGTGGCAGGCCTGGGTTTGGGCTTCCCCATGGTAGTGTTGTCATGCCCGGGGGTGTTGTTGTAGTTGTTGCTGTTCTATGGCTGCATGTTGTACTGCCCCTTGTTATTATGCCAGGCGCTTTTCCCTTGTCACCCCTCATGCGCGGCCGAAGGCCGCGCCGGCGAGCGGTGGCCGCCGGTTTTGGAGAGTGAAACGAACTCGCCAGTGAAGAATGAGCTCACTAGGCATGGATCTAGGGCCTTTATACTAGGGAAACTCTGCCAAAATCGGCTAGGGACTAAGGACTAGGCTAGGGTCGATGAGATGGACGTCTGCATGAATGCTCGTGTCGCTTTGCACCTGGTCGTGCTAACTGTGGTTGCCTGTCGTAGTTTATCCCCGCTTCAAGCATTTAATCTGAACACTTGCGATTCATTCTGACCATGCAAAATCCACCGACCGTATCCAACCAGGGTGAGCTCGTGTCTGACGAATTGGTGGTGGGCATTATCAAGGAAGCGGTCAAGCAGCCGTCCTGCAGCAAGGGTTTCATCCTTGACGGCTTCCCTCGCACGGTCGTGCAGGCAGAGAAGGTGAGTGAAGCCAAATCGTTCTTACTGGTAGCACATATCCGCCCACATTCTTATCACGCTTGCATTCAACAACAGCTTGACTCGAAGGGTCAGAAGATAGGTCAAATGCTCAACTTCTAGGTTTCTATCAACTATTTTACAACAGAGAATCCACGAGGGATGAAACATTTTTTTTCAAACGTGGCTTCTGTGTTTTATGTTTCCAACAGCTTGATGCGATGCTGGAGAAGAAGGGTCAGAAGATCGATAAGGTTCTCAACTTCGACGTTCATGATGCCGTCCTGGAGGAGAGGATCATTGGCAGGTGGATCCACCCTGCCAGCGGACGCTCTTACCACACCAAGTTCGCTCCTCCGAAAGTTCCAGGAAAGGATGATGTGAGTAGATCTCTTGACGAAACTGTAGGGCTGAATAAGGTTTATTTAACCACCAACAAAAGAGAAACTGTGTGGAATGATAGGGACGTCTCTCTCTCTCTAATGGTCCGTATATTGATATGGCAAAAAGGTACAGACATATAGTTCCACGAGCATGTGAGATTCAGACTAATCCCTCTAGAGTTCCACCAGTGGCTCCAAAACAGCAAAGCAGTCCCCTAGGTGTAGCTCATGCCCAATACCCCCTACCGGAGGGTTCTCAGCTGCTGCAGCCTCACCCAGTTTCATAAGCAAGCCCACTGACTGCGCCCTCTGAAGGGCAACCGACCACCGCTGCCTGAACTGATGCAGAAACTTGGCGGCATGATAGGAGTTAGAGTCGGCGTTGAAGTGGCGCCGAGCCGCGGTGTCTGCCAGCAGTTTGAGGAAGACGGGGACCTCTGCACATGGGCAACCGTAGGTCTCCACTGCCAGTGGAAAGAAGCCGACTGTCTCAGGCCTGTTTGCATAGTGCTGGATTTTCTTATCTGCCTGTTCCCTAGCTGCCCATCCCCTCCCTTTCCGTGCCTGTGGGTCCCTGGTACTGATGGGGTCTGTCACGGTCACGTCGCACACCCAGACCGCCCCACTGCTCCTATCCGACATGGTGAAGTCGGCTGTTTGTTCCTCGACAGGGCAGTGGGCAGCCGACTCCCTGTGGACGATAAACCCCGCATCCTGTGCCATACTAATGCAGGCATCTCGGAGCTCGTTGTGGGTGTTGATGCGCTGCCTTCCAGTGCCGCAGCGTAGGAGGTGATTCGGGAGGCGGGGGTCTAGGATTTCGGTGTGATCAGAGCAATCACAGTTTTTCGGGGTGGAGAAGGGCAGCCCGAGCCTGAATCTGACGGCATTTGCGAAGTGTACCGGGCCTAGGCGTCTGGTTGCTTCTATAGGGATGGCTGTCAGCCAGTCCCCTGTGCCATAGCCGGTTAGGGAGAACATCCGCTGCGTATGGCCTGCTAGCGGATTCAGTTCCATGTCCTTCGTTGCCTGTACTTGCACGGCGTAGCGGCTACCGTGAACCTGTAGGGCAAGGGCGTGCTGTAGTTTGACATCTGTCCGCTTAAGTCGTTCCCGTTCCAGTAGCTCTCGCGCATCCGAAGGCAGGGCGGACTCGCACTCTGTGAGCCAGGAGCGAAGCGGTGTGTTTTCATCCCTGGGCCGTAGCATATGGCAGCGCGCGTGGGAGAGGGCGGTGTCCGGATCTAGCGCGAGCGTAGAGAAAAGCAGAGCCGCCTGCGTGAAGCTTGCGACAAAACCGTACACTCCCTCAACGAGGGGGTCAGTAACACCTATTCCCCCTAGAGAGGGGGGCAAGGAGGCCTGCGCCCAGACGCGTGCCTGTTCCGCTCTACCCGCCGGCACATGAATGCTGCACGAGGTAAGGAGTGCCAGGAGGAGGTCACGACCCCACTCCGTCCAAGTGTCTCGTGAAACGAGGTTGAGAGGAGTTGTTCGAGTTAGATAGGACACGCGCCGAGAGATGCAGCATGTGATCAGCAGCGAGGCCACCTGAGGATCTGCCCGCTCAATGAGGTGTAAGGGTTTCGCCAGGTCCTTCAGCTGGCCCGCTAAGAAAGAAGCTGCGCCGTTGGCCGCCCCCAGAAAACTCCCAAGCAAGCGGATGCCGTCTGTGCAGAACGGCACCCCTGGAGGTAACCCAGCAGAGTCGCACGCAGTGGCGCTCCATGCCGTGCATTTCTGCGGGTTGTGCTTCAGGCCTAGTGATTCCAGTTTGGAGGTGAAGTGGTTGAACGCGGCTACAGTGGCACTTCGTGCACCCACGAATGTCACGTCGTCAGCATAGGCCAAGCAAAGCACCCCTGGGTGAGCTGCTGCAGTGTCACGAAATGTAGGGTGTATTCCCGCCGCAAACAGGAGCGGGCCGAGTGGGTCGCCCTGGCGAACGCCACGTTCGCTGCGTAGGGGTCCGCTCGCGAAGGTCGAGTCCATGTAGAGTCGCGACGGGTTACCGTAGGTCAGTCGAACCAGTGGGAGTAGTGGCGATAGAGTTGGCTCCTGTAATGCCGCTGCGATGGATTGTCGCGAAATGCTGTTGAAAGCATTCGCAATGTCGGTCTGTAGTACCAGGCTGTTTGGGTGGCAGTCCACGTACGTTCGGGCGGCGTGAATTATCGCTTCCGCCCCACCAGGCACCGCCACTCCGAACTGTAGGGGTAGGAAGAAGTCACGTGCAGCCTCCCCCATGACCAACAGCGCAGCTTTGGCAGCCAGCCGAGTCAGGCATTCTCCGATAGCGATTGGTCGGACCCCCCCCCCAGGTTTGGCCAGGGCGATGAGTCTGGACGCAGTAAGCAGGTCCGCAACCGAAGCTGGGAGGTTGCCCCCCAGAATTGTATTCACGAGGGCGTGCAGATGGGTGCTGACGGATGCATTGGTTATTGCCGCGTCGCGCAGGTGCTCAAATGTTGTGCCAGACGGTCCGGCACCAACACCATTCTCGCATCTCCCAAGGAGCTTCGCAAATTCTGCGTGGGAAATGCACAGGGGCTTAGCATCGGCTGACTGCCAGGTCAGCTGGTCGTCTCCCGCCGGTGGATGCTTTTGTCGCAGCTCGTCTAGAATTTCTGGGCTCGGTGTACAGACGGGTGTTGACTCGAGCGTCAACACGGCTCGACGCAGACTGCCACGTTTCGCCAACCCCTCGGCTCTGCTCAGGACACCTGTCACATCGGGTTGGTGACGTGGGGGCGGAGGGGCGTTGACCGCGTTTATCGCCTCCTGGTAGAGCTGTGACCACTCGCCTCGCTGGAATGCCCGAAGACGGGCCTTGATTTGTGGCCAATTTGGGTGCTTTGGCGAAGCCTGGCGAAGGGTCAGACGCGGGAGGAAGAGAAGCAGCGTCCAACCCGCTTCGGAGTCAGGGTTTCGCGAAAGGTGAAGTAGCGGGGTCAGGAGTGTCAGCGAGAATAACTGGCACAGGTTAGGCGGTAATCGTCTTGACAGCAGCGGTTGGCGACTATCGCAGAGGGCGGAGATGTCCCAGTTCGCTATGTCGGCGAATTTATCCCCCATCTCCGCTAGCTCCACTGGCGAAAAATAGCGCGGGCGCTGCGGGGCCAATCCTGACACTGGGTGGAGGGAAGCGTTTCGATGTCTGCGTGCGCGACTCGGTGGCGTTGACTGCTGCCGAGTTGGATTCTCATCCGTCCGATCGGCATCCAATGGCCCTGCACGCCTTTCTGTTCCCACTGTGGGTAAATTGGCTGTCTCAGGTCTTCTCCTCCCTGTCCCTACTCTCGTTGCCTCCGCTCCGTCTCTTTCTTCCTCGTTTTCGCTGTCTGGCTCCTCTCCCGTAGTATAAGAGGGGTCATTTCTGTCCCCTTCTGTATTAGCCGCTACCAAAGCAATTAAAGCCCGACGTCCCGCAGCCTGAAACCCATTCTCAGGCCCTCCGCCAGTTCCGCTAACCGTCTGCCTCCTTTCTTCCCGTGCTGCACTACCTCGTGATGGTGATTGCTGGAGCTCCCGAGCCGTCGCCAGAGCGCGCTGCCGCCTGGTCGGCAGTGGTCGCCAAGCCTCAGTCTGAGGCCGGAAAGGCGACCACGGCGAAGAAGCCCCCGGTGGCTCCGGCTCCGAAGCCCTCGACAACATCCGCTGAAAAGCCTCCTCACCCCGAACCCGAGGCTCCCCTTGCCGCAGCTGCCGCTCAGTCTGTGGCTCTTGCTGCTGCTGGGAAATCCGCTCCGTCCACGCCAACTGCTCCCCAGGCTTCGCCCGATGGCCCGTCAGGGTCTGCCGCCGCGCTCCCGGCTCCTGCTCCCGTTGGGCCCCCCGCTTCGGGCCCCAAGCCGCAGACTTCTGTGCCTGCCTCGTCCCCGCAGCCGACGTCCGCCACCACTGGCGGCCCGACGCAATTGATTGTGTCCCCTGCATTGGACCCGTCTGCTCCCGTTGCGCCTCCCGTGGCTCAGCCGACGCAACCAACGTCGCAGTCACGTCCTCCCTCGCCGGACCGTCGCCTATCTCGCCCTCATTCTCCAGCGCCCCAACAGGATCGGGCGTCCTCCCGGCGCCGGCGGAATTCTCCCCGGCGCAATCAGCAATCGGGTCAGTGGCAAGCTCACCGTGGCGGTCGCGGCGGCTGGTGGGGTTCTCGTGGTCGCAATGGGGGAGGGTCGTATGATCCGCGCGTGAGGATGGCGGATCTGCAACGTGCGGTAACGACCGCGATGCGTGAAGAGAGGGCTGCTCAGACACAAGGCAGCTCGCACGTTGCCGTCGCCCATGCCGCCCAGCGTCAAGCGGCGCCTCATGAGGTTCCGCCCCCTGCTGCACTCGTCCAATCCCGTGTTCCGGCCTCATCGCTTCCCGCTGCTGCTGCGACTGCTCCCGTTCCAGGGTCGCGGTTGCATCTGCCGCCAGTCCCGCCCGTGGCGGGAGTAGAATTTGTGGCTGTGGGAGGCAGAGCGGTGACGGCAGTTGGCCCGGCTTCTCCTGCCGTAGTGGAGCCGTTCCAGTTCCTTGCGCAGGCGCTGCAACCCCCTCAGGCCCGGGTTCCGGAGGCGACCCTCGGCCAGCTCTTCCGTCTCGCAGAGAGCTTTCACGCTCTGCTCTTGATACAGGTTCTTGCTCACTCGTCCCTCCCCGCGGCCCCCCCTGAGTTGTTCCTGGATCGTCACCGCGACTCTTGTCTGGACGCCGCCGATCAGCTTGCAGGGCTGCTGGCGCCCGTGCTGG